CAAAAGGCCGCCCTGAAGGACGAACCCCGTGTGAATGGCGGCCATGCCCCCACCGTCACAGTGCACCATCGGTCTCCTTGCGGGCGCGCTTTCCCATGCCCACGCTCTCTTCAACTTCAGCGAGCCGACCAACAACATCACTTTTGATGGTGTCGAGCTTGGAGTTCATGTTCTTCTCCATTTGACCCATCAAGCGCTCCATGGATGCAACCAATGTTTGAGTAGTGGCCGCATTGGATTTCTCCAACTCATGCAACTTCTGCTTAGTGAAAGAGGCCTCCTCACGCATGTGCTCGACACTCTGAGCAGTTGCATTGATCTTATCCTCATTGGCCTTCTGAAGGGCCAGGACTGTATCATTGAGCTTGTCCATCTTATCATGAGCCTGGCGAAGCTGAGCGCCAACCTCAGCTGCAATCTGAGCCTGAATCTCGCACTTGACTTCAGCCATACGAGAGACCGCACTGGCCTGAGCCACTCGACCAGATTCATCAAACTGCATCTGAACGCCCATTTGCACATGGCGGGCAACCAAGGTCAAGGAAGGGCTCTTAGCTTTCCTCAAAGGTTCAATGATGACCAGGCTACCGTTGAGACCAACGTGCTGAGTCTTGGGCGGATTCTTGGCCGCTACGATCCAAGTAGCCTGACCTTGTGGTCGAATGACCTGAGCCTCCCAGCCAGAAGCGACCAAAGCTTGTGACAACTGATCACGAGAAGGCTGCCCAGGGACATGTCGGAGGACATACAAATCAGCCTGAGGATCGACTGCTGGGCAATCAATGTAGGCAGCATCAGGAGCTATGATCTTTCTGACTTGGTCAGCATGTTCTCGCCGACAACGAACAGCAAAGCGATCACCCCACAGAGCAACTCCAAGAGCATGTTCACACCCCACACTTTTGTTCCAAGCATCATCTAAGGTCCCAGTCGTGATAGGAATTGGGACATAGCGGGCATCAGCCTTGTGGTCATCACCCTTGGGAGTCATGAAGATGCCAGCAATACCTGATTTAGCCAGTACATTGTCAAGCAAAGTGTCAGCAACCTTGAAGAAACCCCGCCATGACGTTGCTTTCGAATGAGCCGCTGGCTTGCGATCATCACCGAAGGTCTTGAGAGCCCAATAACTCAGAAGGTTGGGGCCCCGAAGCACCGTGACATGCTTACCCAGGTAGTTCAAAGGCAGAGCTGTCTCAGACCAAGAGGCTGTGTGCTTGCGAAGAATGCAAAATTCAACCACCGTGGCCACGACTTGGGGCACTTCCAGAACAGGAACCTGCGGCTGAAACTCAATGCTCTTATCCCCAAAGTTGACCAGAGCAGATCGAACGACAAGCGGCTCACCAGTCTTCTTCCAGTGGGCAGGAACCGTGATGCAATTGTCAAAGGTGTTGGCCTGCTTGCCAACGACCAGAATAGCTAGACCACCACTTGAACGGATCTTCTGCTGAAGGCAAATGCGAGTTTGATGAGCGGACATGATGCAAAGTCCCTCCTCATCAGTGCCAAAGCGGTCACGATGCAAAAAGCCTGGAGCCTCACCATCAACAACGAAATGAGTGGGGGAGACCTCAATCCCATCAGGGGAAATCTCTTGCTCCTGAACTCTGCCACGCTTAGCTGGACGATTGGCAGCCTGAGATGGTGGCTTGCTGTTGGGTTTGACACCCCCATTGTTCTTCTTCTTCCATTCATTGAGTTCAGCAGCCGTGACAAGGCGGACACGCCCATCATTGGCCAGACTCTTCATGCGGGACCACAACTTGCTGTCATCATCCAAGCATTCCTTGAGGTCGCCAATGTCACAACGGTCCTTGAAGAGCTTGAGGCGTGACTGAAGCTGATCACGTGGGACACCATGACCCTCCAAAGCAGCACTGAGAGCATCATCCAAAGGCCCCTTCTTGGCACCCCCACGAAGAGGACACAGGCGGAAAGCAATGACCTCCAGCTCAGGAACATCCTGAAAAGCCATGAGAGGGTCGGCAACAGAGCCCCCTAACAAACATAGGACGGATGTATTGATTCGAGTATGGGCCAGGTAGCTGGCAGCCAGTTGGCCGATGGCAACATCACCTGGCAGGGACACAACCTCAGCCTTGCCTCGAAATGGCGATTTGATCCATCTCTGAACGCAGGCGACCCCTGGATGGAGCTGATGGTACAAAGATGATCCCAAGGCATAGTGGGAGGTCATCAGGTTCACACACGTCACTCGCCAGGGAGCCATAGTGTCCCATTCAATCTCAAAGCTGGAAATCTGATCACGCAACAGGATCTCAATGGGCGTCTGTTCATCGAGATAGCGGCCCTTGACGACAATTCTCCAAGAGACAGCTGCAGCAACATCAGGCATCAGAATCCTCACGGCCTCAGCACAAGTGTCTTTCATCGTGACCATCCCAGAACGAAGGACTTTCCTGTTGGGATGTCGTGCAAACACCCTAGCACAAGAGTAATCAACAGGCCTCAAGCCCTGATCTTCCTGACCTTGACCAATCTGGGGAGTACAGTGAGCTGGGCTGATCATGCGAAACTTGATCTGCAAAGCACCCACCTCAAGTTCAGAAAGGAAATCATCATACTTCAACGGTGTATCATTGTGCAACAGAGCAAGGGACTCCGGATTGCATTGAATGGCTGTGGCCGTGGCCGCAATAGCACCTCGCACTGTGGATGTCACATCAGCTCGAAAAGTGCAGCCATTGTTGTCATCATAGGAACACTTCACGGAGTACTTGACAGGCTCAAAGGTGATTTTCTTGGCCGGGCAAGCCAAGATCTCATCATCCCAAAAAGCTTCAGTACAGTCATCCCAAAAAGCAATGAAATGCTCACGCTTGGCATGCGGCAAACCTCGCTGCACAAATGCAGACAGAGACTCACGCGGTGCACCATGACAAACCATCATCCAATGGCCCTCTTTATGCGCCAAGAAAATAATGCCACCACTGCATGTATGGCCCACAGAACCCGCAGACAGTTCCAGCTGATGGGCCATCACAAACTCCGGCTCAAAAGGCAAGGCTGATGTTGCAGCGGGCTCAAGGACACCAAAGGGCACTGTCGGTGGGATGATGGTAGAGTCCTCAACCCGTGGCCTCTTGGATGGAGTCGGCACAAAACTCTCGAGCTCATCAACAGGTGTCAAAACCATGAAGTCACCCTGGACAGTGACTTGGAAGGCTGAAAGCCCAGTGCGATGCTGCTCAATCTTCAAAGCCAGTTCGGACAAATCATGCATCGGACGAAAAGGGGACAGTGATCCCAGGACAGCATCCACCTTAGCAATGCCTAAGACTGCATGTCCGATGGTCAGTGCATTACCAGCCTGACGGTGCGCATCAAAGAAATCCTTAGCCAAAACAGTTTCCGGGGGAAAACCCACGGCAGCAAGAACCTCAAAGGGATGATAGTACCTCACATGTCCGTCAACCTCAAGGAGGTGAGTAGTCAGGCCCTTACGCATCAAAAGCTGAATTGGTAGCTTATGTTGTTTCCCATATGATGCCATGGCAGCAACAATGGGCTGCGTCAGCAAACGAGTTCTGGCTTTGATGACCTGCGAAGGATGGAAAAACTTACCACCCCCATCTCGAGAAGGGAGCAAATCAGGTCTCCCAAGGAACTCAAGGGCCTCAGCATCAGGGATAAGGAAACTAAGGTCAGCACTCGAAAGGTGCCGAAGCGCTGCATTTTCAGTGGCAAGGCTCAACTGAAAAGTAGGCTCAGCAACAAAAGGCTGCTTCCAGCACATTTGGCCGGCGATTCTGAGACTATCAGCATCAGCCAGTTTGTCTCTCCTGCACCAGACTGCAATCCATCGTTCTCTCGAGATAGGATGGACACTGTCAACATTGACCAAACTCTCACATGCCAAATGGAAGCCCTGCTCCGCCGCATAAGCCTTGAGAGCAGCGAAGTCCTTGTGTTTCACAATGCCTGGCACATTCTCGACAGCAAGGGCCCAAAGCCCAAGGTCAGCTCCATCTGCAAAAAGCTGGCGAAAGGCCTGGCCATTGGGCCCAGCAAGACCCTCGCCATTGCCACTAGCACTCCATGGTTGACACGGAGGAGAAGCCAAGGCCACAACCGTGTTGAGCAAACCAATGCCTTGCACCACCAGCTTGTCAGAGACGCTGGCGCATACCACAGCAGGCCCTCCAACCGAACCAGCAACAGCCTTTCCATAAAAGGCTGAGGGGGACAACACATCAGTCTTCAACCGATGAGCCATAGCCGCCGAAACCTGATGATCAAAATCGATCAAAGCTCGAGTGCACTTCTGAGCAACACGCATGCCTTCATGCCAACCTCCCAAACCGCTGAAGAGCTCCACAGTGGAAATGGGAGTAGCACAATCCAAATGTGGCTGGAAAATCACCATAGGCTCACCCAACGCCGAAGGCGTGTCCAGGATGAAGCGAACTCTTCCATGGCACCATGCAACCTGAAAGTTGCGAACAACCACAACTCGCGACACATGGCAGTGAGGCAAAAGCTCCAGCCTCACCACCAAAACCACGGGGGTGCGGCATGCCAGCACAACAGCCTGTGCCACCCCACCTTCCACCTTCTCGATGGAAACCACAGCTCTAGCACCTGAATGCCAGTCCATGGCTCCCCAAACGGCGCCGATCAGCAGTCACCGCCCACCAGCTGGTAGGTGGCGCCTCTTGGACCAATGGCTCCCAACCAATGGGTTTTTACCTGTTCACTTAGCCAAACCTTCTCACCTGTAGTAGGGGCCAACCAGGTATTTTCCAATTCCTCCTGTACCCCCCGTAGTATATGGCAAGGGCGTCCGGTGAACGCGAGCGACTGACATCGTCCGCAAGTCATGCTACCGTTTTTTTTGCGTCTCTTTCCCTTCTTCCAGGAGGTCTTTGGGAGGTCTCTCTATTATACTATGAACCACCATATCAAGTGTCCCTTGTGTATCCTTGCGACTCACGCCACCGTACCGTACCGTATCGCGCAACGCCAAACGCCACGAGGTCTGCGATGTCCAACTTGGCGCGGCCGGGGCCGAGCGAAGACGAAAGCGGACAACATGAAGCGAGTTTTAGGAACCAACATCCACGAAAGTCGGCCGATTGACCATGTGGCCGAACTGTGGCAGCTGAAGGACAATGGTCGATAGGAGTGTCCGGCACTGGGGGGACAATCAGCTGAAGGGGGGCCAAGTGTGGACAGCTGAAGTGTCCGACCTGCTTGAGTGGTCGACGAGTCGATGAGGCCGGCCTCCGGGGGAACGACCACCAGCAGACGCGTGCGTGAATGCAAATGAACCCATTGGTCTACTTGAACCAATCACACTGGAGTTACTCAACTAGTTTTCACTAGTTACTCAACTGCAAGTTTCCTTTGTTGCAAGGTTCATTTATCCTCTCAAAGTTGAGATAGAGTGAGATAGAACATGCTCGGACTGGTGGACATGACTCCGCACGGTCTCGTCGTCCGAGGCCAGTGCTCTCAGAGGACCGAAGCAAGCGACACTGAGGGGCGGACACGGCTCAGCCTACGACACGGCGGTCTGGCCGCATGGCGGACGGCGCTGGAAGTTCGCATTTTTTTTGGAGATCATTGAATGGTATTGAACTAAATGTTGGGATCATGAATCATGCCTCAGATGGAAACAATGTCAAGATGCCAAGAAGATAGCCTTTGAGTGCCGTTGAAACCACTGAACTCACTGAATGACCATGGATCACTCAGAAATCAGAGATCGGCAGAAGCTGCGTTTTGATGAGGAAGATTTTGGAGGCAAGTCTTGTCCAGAGTCCAAATCACATCTCCTAAGGAGATTTAATTGCTGGGCTCCGTGTGCCCATGGAATGTCAGATTGGCATCATCCGTGTGTTGAGTCGGCCGGGACACCAACGGATTTGAGTCGGAAAACGGTCCGACCCTTTGCCAGAAGATTGGGACCGTAGGACGGTCCGTAGGACGAGGGCCCAGCTATATAAGCAGACTACGTAGGTGATCGGGTGGTGAGAAGGTGGCTTTCCATGTATTTTCTATTGAGATGAGTGCACGGCTTTGTGCTTCCAGACTTTGGCCCAAGGGTATCATGTCAGACATGTCACTACCAACACGTAACACCACCAACACCTCTCAAGCAAGCCAAGGAGGAACGCCAAACAGAGGCCGTCAGACCCTGCAAGCAACATACAAGAACACTGCCTACGAGGCTGCTTTGACCAGCGGCATGCAACCATTGAAACTCACTCTCCAAGACCACCAGCCATTGCATCTCTATAGTCAGACATTTACGCCATCGACGCCCGACTTCCCATGTCCCCAGTTTTCGATCTCCATCTCGAAGGCAACACCATTGACCCCCTGTGGCCGTTTTTCCGGCCCCCCAAAAGGCCACCAGCAATAAGACTGCGTCGTGCACAGATCAGATCTGTGTGCCGCAGCTGCTGCAGGAGATCGATCGCGGAGAGCGATCGCGGCACACTTTGGGTGGAACCTTTGTGTGACGACAGGTGAAACGGTTTCTTTGTTTGGTGGAGATATAGATAGATATGGATAGGTGAATAGGATGTCTCAATTTTGTGGGGAGAAACAGCCAAAGAACACTAACAACCAGCAAAACTTTTTCCGGACCCATGGTTGGTGGGTCTATTTATTGAAATCATGGAAATTAACATTTCACATAATTTCACCATTTATTTCACCATTGGCAACTAAGCCATCAAACAGGAGACGACATGGTCGAGTAATCCGACTCCTTACTCCTTGAATCTCTTTGAAGACAACATATCCCGTCAGACGTGTTCAGGGCCTGAGAAAAAGCTTTATAAGGAAACGATGGGAAACCGATGGAAACATCGATTGTAGTGGTTGGGGAGCCCCTCCGGGGTGTTCTTGTAAGATATGGATACGATGTGGATTCCATTCTTTGAGCCATCTTCATCCATGTCGCGCGATCAAACATGACACCACATTTTCCACCACCTTTTGGCATCAATCAGCTTAAACTTGAATGGTGTGAGACTTTAATGCCTGAATGAACAACTCCCTCTTTGGATGGTTGAATTGTAACATCTCTTCAGTCTGGGCGGCTTATGATTTCAATGATATTTTTTGTTGCACTTTCCCAGGCATAGGTGGCCCAAAAGCGACTGGATGGGCAGTGGATCGGCATTTGCCAGGGCAAAATGGCCAATGGTCCGCCGGCCGGTATTTGCGAGTTGATGAGGTGCAGCAGTGCAAGTTGATCGGCATGAATCATGCAAGAACAATCACATGATATCACACGCTTTAGTAAATGATGTTCACCTGGTATACCATCATAAGTTATAGTACTGTACACCTGACAGTCCTTGGAAGCAACCATCTGATCCGCGTCGCGTGCGACGCTGCTCAGCTTCGGTCGCTTCGCTCCGCTCTATTTCGAGGGCGCTCCAGAACGTCGACAATGTGGTGCGAAAGGATGCCGAGCAAAAGCTCATGGAGGCGGTGAAAGGAGCGGAGACCGGCGGTGAGGGCCAGCTGTCTCCTCGGAGATGGCGAGGCGACGACCGTACTCGACGTTTTCTCCGTACTCGACCACGGACGGAGGATTCGGAGTCATCATGGTCTGATGTTCACGAGGAGAGGTTGACTGTTCTAGTGTCAAGAAGGAATGGACGATGTGTGCCTCGGAATTGGAGGAAGAGGTAAAGATAGGTACAGAAATGTAAAGAAGACATACGACGGTACGGCAGGAAACAGATCCAATGACGTATGACGGTAGGGGTTAACACTTCTTCCCCAGAGTCGATCATCCAGGAGCACCGAATCAGCTGGTTTTAGAGCTGCTGGCCGTGCTGGCGGCAAGCAATGAGAGCCTCGGAATGAACTTTTGGCTTTAAACACTTACAGACTTTGATGGTGGCGTGGAGTATGTATTTCTCCCAATTGACCAGAAGAAGCGCCAGTTCTATTTGAACATCCGCTAAAACCTGTTATGACCAATTCAGAAACGAGCGATCGTAAATGTCAGGAATTTGGCTGAAACTGTCAAAGCGATAGGCCCCCCTCGAAAGTGATAATAATGTCGGTGGAGTTTTTGGAAATGTTGTCCTTTTTGTTAACAAGACATTTTTTCACATATAAGAACACAAGACTGTTCAAGCAACCACCATGACGACATGGTTCCTTCCATGTCGCCTCCTCCGGCAACTAGATCAGGACATACCGTTATCTGCACCATGTCGCAAGAAACTCCTTTCACTCCACCCTTCCCAAGAAGCCAAATGCCTTGGGAAGCCGACCTTCCCTCGTGAATCGGCTCTGTTCGACTCGGTCCATGCGCCGCCCAGGGCGGCACCAATGGAACTCCGACAGGAGGCGGTCGTGGTGCTGAGGCGGTAGCGTTCGGTCAGCGAAGGTAGGAACATCAGATGATATCAGATGGGAAGGTCCAAAACGAAGATCCTGAAGAGTCAAGTTACGTGGATCTGACATCGGTGGCCAATCATTCAATTCCTTTATGAAACGGTTTCCAACACATTTTTAATGGGACCGACTCTTCTATCTATTTGTTTCTATCTATTTGGGGTCTATATAAGCCTAAGGGTGGAGGCCATCGCTAGTAGGTTGGAGGCCATCGCTAGTTGGAGGGCCTTCGACTCGACTCTAGACGATAGGCAGTGTGCCTCGGAGCATGGCTCCCGAAGTTGCTGGAAAGAGTTGGAAAAGACCACGCAGGAGGCGTGCGTGCAGTGGACGTTGCAATAGACGTCGTTTTGAGGATCTGCAAACTGTGGCTGACAGTTCTATTCAGATTCGAATCTGGGTCTGTTTGTTCATGCTGATGGCAGCCAGGCATTAAAAGAACAGGTCCTCGTGTCCTTGACCAAGGAGAGTTTGCTAACATGGGCTGACCAAAGATCTCATTTTATTGTTTCTAATAGCTTCTTGTTCCTAGTAGTAAGGCCAGGAGCCCCTAGTAGCGATGCCCTTTGCTCCTAGTAGCTTCTTGTTCCTAGTAACAAGATGCAGACCTGTTCTTTCTCAAAAGTGCGTACGTCTTTCGACGGCACCCTCGCAAGAGCTGTCTTACACCGTTTTGAAGATGTTTGGAAGCAGATTTGTACCATCTTCTCAGAACTTACAATATGCCTTCCAAGACTGTGAACCCCAAAGCCCTTGTAAGGCACTTGTTACTACTAGCGTGGCACTTGTTACTAATAGCTTCTTGCTACTACTAGTAAGGCACTTGTTACTACTAGCGTGGCACCTGTTCCTAGGAAACACGACTCCCAAAGCCCATTTTCCCAATGTGCGGCACCAGCGGCAAACTTGGTGGCTTTCGAGAGCGCTCTCGGACCGAAGCCCGGTCGGGACCCGGGGCTGAGAGGAGCAGCTTACCAGCTGCTCTGTTGATTTCTACTGCTGATCAAATGTGAGATTGGCATAGATTATATATATATATATATTATAGATCAGTGTCCCCCTTGGATTTCCTGAAGAGGCTCCATGTTTGTGTCCACCTCCCACGCGGACATGTCCAGGATCCTAGCTTGCCGGTGCGAAACAACGCTGGCCATGTCGTGTGTGCGGTGGCGAACACCGTGGCTAAAGAGTACTCCGAGCTCTTAAAGGCGGGAAAACGCCCGCACAGGGATGGGCCGATGCCAGAAATGGGGCCTTCCAACCAAGATGGCCGACAGCAGCCCATGCATGGCATGGTTCCGGTGTCCTGTGGGGTGTGCTAAGAATATCACTGCTTCACGATACTGGATGGTTTCCAACTTGGGGGTTCCTTCTTCCAGGTTGCACAATCCTAAGCTGTGACCATGTTGGGTCCTACGTTTTCTTGATTGGCGTGTGAGGCATGTACTCACGCAGACTGTACGTCAATATGTAAGTCTGAGGATGCTATCAGACAAAGAGCATGCATAGCGGCATAGATGTTGCCACCAGCACATAGTACTATTTAGGCTGAAGATGTTAGGCCCATGAAATCCCGCCTGGCAGGAGTGGCCTCGACTGCTCCACTTCTTATCTGAGACCATTAGCCGCTTGCCACGAAACAAGTTCTTCAGCTCTGGGACTTGTTGTGATGGCTTGCCGCACGGGTGCTGTGCTGAGAATCTAGTGGGGGGGATCTTTGGCACTAACGGCATAACGGCATTCTCGTGCTGCTACGGTTTAGATGATTAACTATACAGGTACGGTATATAGGTATACAGTATCTATAGAATCTATATTTCTTGCCTGACACTGGAAGGGGCTGAGATATCTTTCCTCAAATGTGTTTTGTGAAAATTAGCGTTTGAGGGGAAGAGCTGATGCAATGCCAATGTTTTCCTGAAAAAAGGTCATGCATATCATGCATTGATTTAGGGAGATCATGAATTGTTTCTTCAAGAGCATGTCAGTATGTCCTCCACACAACACAGCATCGTGTAGGATCTAATTAGTGATTGATTCCATCCCCAATCCAACTAGTTACCGTATCCAACTCAGCTACTCTTTGCCAAGGGGTTTAGGAACATATTTCATCCACCGACCGTCCGATTGGACGCCCTTCAGTCGCAGTCGCTGTCCGAGTCGCTGTCCCAAAAGGATGACGTCCCGCAGATCCATCGTCCACTTGTTTACCACGTCGGATCGTGGGAAGAGGATGA